TGATTATTCGAGTTTAACCTGTGGACCTAAGAGCATGTTAAGTAAATAAAACGGAGTAAAAAATAAATAAAAAAACAGGTTATATTGAACACTAATACATAAAAGGACAATGTTAAAGATTGAAACCATCATAGAAGAAAAATGTATGGAGTTGATTTGATCTAAATTATTCAACTTTTTAAAACAATAATAAAATATGCATGAATAGAAAATGTGCAAAGGTACAAAGTCGTGTAAGTTATTAGAATTCTGTTGGTGCATTAAAATAATTACATTTTAGATTTCTGATCATTATCTGTGTCATAAATGATATATTTTAGAATCAACCACAAGTAGAAAATCTGTTGATTTCCATCTCTCGTGTGATGATGCTGCCTCTTCTCTCTTCTCTCTGCGGTAAACCACAAATCTTCCACGTAAAGCAGGGATCGGTGTATTATTCTAAGCATAGCCTGCCAGTCTTCCAGATATTAGATACTGCAGTGTTTTTGATGCTAACGAGGTTTATGCCTCTGATTAAAAAACAAAAACGGGTTCTTGTATGTGAAAACTGGAAACTTTGTGTGAGGTGCAGCAGAGGTGCAGCGTCTCCAGCTGTGCAGAGATCACCGCGGCTCTCACTCAGCCTCTGAGAGCCACGGCTCTCTGCACTGACCCCTTCGCATCAAACTTGACTGTTCGTGTCCAGTCTGCATGCCGAGTTGTCGTGTAGGCTGTGTCGCTCTGTCACAAGACATGTCCCACATTTGCAGCCGCCGTCGTTGGCCAGCAGGACGAGAGCGTCTGTCAGGAGATCTGACACGCATGCCACTTCGCTGGGCGACTGACAGAGGGCCACGCCGCACTGTCACTTCTCCCAGATCTGTTGCCTGAGGATAAACATGGTCACACACACAAACGTTAATAACACAAGAGTAAACAGAGTTGGAATCTCAGAGGGTGACTGACTGACTGACAGGATGACTGGGTGACCAGCCGGGGCTGGGGAAGCTGGAGCTCTGTGTCACCCCTCATTCTTGCAATCTCCAGCTGTCACATCAAACGCTCGGCTCTGGTGCTGCTCCTCTAACAAACTCAGCCTCACCACCTTCCCCCACCCCTGCCTTCTGTACTGATTTCACATCAGAACATTTCCTTTGGTGCAAAACGAGGCACAGAGTAGCAGCTTCCTGAAAATGTGTGTCCCTTCAGCTGAATAGAAGTTGTTTAAAATGAAAACTTTTCACAAACAGCCTTGACCCTTCGATGCATAATGGTCACTACAGTGGACAGGTACTCAAAATTGTTATTTATTTATTTTTGCTATTAAGCACAGCTATTGAAGACTTTATTGCATGTGAGCCCCTCCGTTTGGACTTCAGTAAGTCAAGCCAACATGTTTCATGCTCAGAATGCACGCTGCCCACTAAGGTGGACATGTAATAAATTATTTGTAAATTATAAAATTTTACAAAAATATTTGTTGAAATTTGTTTCATTCACACCTAAAGACGAATGAAAGAATTGTTAAAAAAATCATGGTTGAAGATTTCATAATTCATGCATCAAAAGGTTAAAATCTGCAAATGTTAGGGTTGACGAGTTAGATATGGCAAATATCTATCAAAACTAAACTTTTAAAAATAATAAATGTGTAATGCTGTGAAAATGAGATTCTTTTTTTTTGACACACGAGTGAATCGGTTCAGCAAATATATTCGGTATCAGACAGTCTGATTAGACACATAATAGTTTCAAATGATTTGATTTAACATGATTTTATGTGAAAAAGCAACAGACCTTATTTAGAAAGCTGAGTTTAGTTTCACAAGCCACACCCATTTTTTATTACTGTATGTTTGAGTACTGCATGTAGTAGGCTAAACGATGTCAAAAAGCAACACGTCATGCCCCATTCTGCATGAAAATAGAAGGAGAAACATTCAACGCAGTTTCCAAATGATTGAATTCATTAAGACACTTAGCCTTAGCTCCTCTAAATCTGAGTCGGAAAAGGGTAGAGTGCCTTCTCCAGGTCAGGGACGAGGTCCTGCCTCAAGTGAAGGAGTTTAAGTCTTGTTTACGAGTGAGGGAAAGATGGAGCGGGAGATCTTTAAGCGGACTGGTGTCATGGTGATGCTAGAGGTGAGCCAGAAGGTGAAGCTCTCGATTTACCGGTCAGTCTGTGTTCCAGCCCTCATGGTCACAAGCTGTAGGTAGTGACCGAAAGAACGCGATTGCAGATGTAAGCGGCTGAAATGAGTTTCATCCACAGGGTGTCTGGGTTCTCCTATATAGGGTGAGAATCTCGGTCATCCGGGAGGGGGTCAGAGTAGATCCGCAGCTCCTCCACATCAAGTGGAGCCAGTTGAGGTGGCTTGGGCATTTAGTTAAGATGCCTCCTGGATGCCTCCCTGGTGAGATTTTCTGGGCACGTCCAACCTGAAGAAGACCTAAAGCAGTGTTTCCTAACACTGGTCCTCAGGGTCCACTGTCCTACAAGTTTTCCATGTTTCTGCTTCAGCACATCTGATTTACATTGGCTCCTCAGGAGGACATCAAGTGCTGCAGATCCAAGTTAATCGCTCATCCCAGGTGTGTGGCAGCAGAGGCACACCGGTGTTTGAAAGGGCAACATGGAAAACAAGCAGAACAGTGGTCCCTGAGGACCCGGGTTGGGAAACACTGACCTAAAGGAAGACCCAAGGCACGCTGGAAGGACTGTTTCGCATCTGACCAGGGAACACTTTGGCATTTGCCTGGAGGAGCTGGCCCAAGTGGCTGTGCAGAGGGAAGTCTGGGCTTCCCTGCTTAGGCTGAGGGGTTAGGCTTTCAGAGCCCAAGACCCCAGATAAGCAGACAATAATGGCTGGGTGGATGGAGAACTGTGATAAAGTCTCTCGCAACACTGGGGAGGAATTTTGGTGACATATTGGCTTGCCGCTTGGAAAGCTTTGTTCCCAAACGCAAGAAATCAGCATGAAATTAAGCATTTTCTGTTCACTTTAGTAACCTTTGCCGAATATCGACATTTTCTGATCTGAAATGTTTTAGTGTGACATAAAAGCAAAAAACTGAAATAACATTTTAGTCAGAAACGCTGTTTCACAGCATGTTATATAAGGATTTCTGTTGATGAAAAGTAACCACGGCTCAAACTCAAATGTAATTTTGTTTCATTTTGTCCTCCTGCCAGTGTATTTTAATGGAAAATTAGATTTTTTTTTCTATTTTCCACTGCTGCCAACTGAAAAGACAAATGTTTCCTTCCAGATCTGCCTTTTTTCAAGCTGTAAAAAAAAGCAAGTTAACTAGATTCAGTGACCTTTTGCATCAAAAGTGTTTTGACGTATCTTATAATTGTTAAACAGTTTCACAATGAAGTCTGTTTTGTCAGTAAAACTCTCACGCTCAGGAAAACTTGACTAAATGATAAAATAAGTCATAAAACTGTCTATTTATACAAATTTATGCAGGACAAATGTCTGAAATTGAATTAAAAAGATTCACCTGAACTAGCAGTAATGATGCAACACTACTCTAATCTGGTAAAATCCATAAAAACCCTTTAGTCCATGCGTGGAGTTCTTTAGTTATAACCTACATAGAGCAGCGTTTTGTCTGTAATAAACGATCAAAGTGAAATACTTGAATCCACTCTCATGTATTTCCATTTTGTGGATGTGAAGACTAGAAAACATTTAGATGTTTTTGTACACATTCACCCATCATCTGTCGTGATGTCGAGTTTTATTTGATTTATTTCAAATTGTCACCACCAGCCTGCAAATGGATCTACAGCGCCCTCTAAAGGTTAAAA